TTCTTAATATGTATATAAGTTAACTGGCATGATGGTTCACTCTATTCTCTCATTACATCGTAATTATGTCTGGTTGATTTATTTGTTATAATATGTATTATATTATTGTCCTGTATCGTGTTCCTTGTGTGTTGTGTTGGTAATGCGTGTGTGTGTGTGTTGCGTGTTGTGGTGTGTGTGTCTCGGTTGTGTTGCTGTTGCTGATTGTAGTTTCTTCTGCTGGTGGTCTGTGTGTTGTGTGTGGTTCCTTTGTTCGTGTCGTGTGTGTTTCGGTGTTTGTGTGTCTTGACGCTGTGTATTTTTGATTGTGTGGTGTTGTGTCTGTTGCTCATCGCCTATGCGTGTGGATTTTTTTTTCTGTGTGTTGGCGTGTGTTATGGTTGTTTGGCGTGGAAGGCGTTGTTGTGTTGTCTTGCTTTGTGGTGTTGTATTCGTCGTGGTGGATAGAGTATTCTTGATTGTTATATACGCCTATATCGGTATTGCGGGCGGTCACAGTTCACGGTGGCTACACGAGCGGTAGTTAATCACGACACTCGCAAGGAGCCGACGCTTCAAGGGGGGGGGGGTCGAATAGTCCAGCGTGTTGGCGTGAAGGGATGTTTCGGCTTGGGTCCTTCAAATCTACTCAAGGCCTCGAGCACGTGGCCTTCCCTCCTCATCTCTCTTCTGCTCTGCCCAACAGTGCCTTTCTATTCTTGGTGTCGCTCATCCGACGTAGAATTCTGCATTTATCCCTTTCATTTCCCTTATTTCTACGCTTCTTCTCCCAAATAAAGAATAGCTCCGAAACTCAATCTCGGCACGCAGAAAGAGAAATCCATCAAACATTTAATATATTCTTTCTTCTCTTTTTTTATAGTCTTTTGGTGACTGTTGCCCGTTTCTTTCCCGAACTTTGGCCCATCTGCTGATCAATCTCTGAACATTTGCCAAAGCCCGAGCTATAACGTATAAACAGTGTGCTATGTTCCCCAATCTACTTATTACCCTCTGCCACGGTTCGGCATCTAGCATAGTTACCCCCGCCTCTGTTCTCCCCCGCATCTTGCGCGATGTCCCCCTTGCTGTTTGCGCGAAGACGGTTGTGACTTTACGTATGAAGGAGAATCGAGTTATAGTGAGGCGCGAGGTCGGAATATCGCAAGAAATGAGATATATCGGGTCGTAGAGTATATATGGGAAGTGATATAAAGCGAAGAACGAAAGTATAAGTGAGCGAGAATCGAGTCTGTATTTAGTGAGGCGGAGGTCGGAATATCGCAAGAAAATGAGATATACGGTTGTAAAGTGTCCGTGGCAGTGATATAAAGCGAAAGACGAAAGTATAAGTGAGGAGAAATGAATTATAGTGAGCTGGATGTAGGAATATCGTTAAAAAATGAGATATATCGGTTGTAGAGTATTATTGGAAGTGATATAAAGCGAAAGACGAAAGTATAAATGAGAAGAAATGAGTTATAGGGAGGCGGAGGTCGGAATATCGCAAGAAAATGAGATATATCGGTTGTAGAGTATCCGTGGCAGTGATATAAAGCGAAAGACTATAGTATAACTGAGGAGAAATGAATTATAGTGAGCTGGATGTCGGAATATCGTAAAAAATGAGATAAATCGGTTGTAGAGTATCCTTAGAAGTGATATAAAGCGAAAGACGATAGTATAACTGAGGAGAAATGAGTTATAGGGAGGCGGAGGTCGGAATATCATAAGATATCATGAGAGATTTCGGTGATAGAGTATCATTGGCAGTGATATAAAGCGAAAGACGATAGTATAACTGAGGCTTAGTAATTCCGATATGTGAGATAGCCAAGTGATCTGGAGTACAAAACTATCCATGTATATCATTATCGTCATATCATTATGAATATCATTATCTTTATTTTTCTTAACGGTATCATCAGCATCTTACAATTCCTTAGATATCATTATCAAAGTTACAGTTATCAGTGATATCACTTTTCTTAGTTGTTAAAAGTTAGATATTCTTGTGTTCATTTTTGCATTGTTTCTCTGATGCGTCTTAATTACACGCCTTTGCTGTAAAAGGTATTTCTTTAAGCTAAGTGACTGAAAATCAACTGACAGAATGGGATTAAAATAAAAAAAAAAACAACAGGAACAGAAATAACAACAATGGTATTGATGATGAATGCTGATAATAAACAATGTTAATCACATAGCAATTAGGAGAATCAAAAAATAATAACAATCGCAACAGAAACGATAAAAAAACAATAAAAATAATAATAACTTCATCCGGCTTACCCCTAACAGTGTGTCTGTCAAGGGACATCGCGAAGTCGTAAATAAAATTGCAAAAGCACGAGGAGGACATCGCAAAAAACACTGACAGATATTTTCCTGGAATAGAACAGCTGTACTCCCCAGCTGTTGGGCGGAGGCAGAAAATATTACGCGAAACAAGAATCCAATTTTCTTTTCAGATCCTGGCGCTGGGAGCTGTCAAGTCACAGATCATGGCGGCACGAGAACAGCAAGCGCAGAACATCGGCTGTGAGATGTTTCTGCTTGCGAGTCTGGCAATTTCTTTGTCGAAGTTAGAGTTTTTTTTCTTTCTTTCTTTTTTAAGTGACTACGGGTACGGCAGAAAAGCCCTTGAGAGGATCAAGATGGCGGCGTCTCAATTAGGCTAGGATAGGTTAAATTCGTGCTAATTAATAAAATAAATAAAATTGATATCAGCATTCGGATACGGCTGCCGTACGCGTAACACCTGCCCCCTTTTTTCCCTTGCTATAAATCACCCAAACTCTTAATGGCTATTCCATACGTCATTTTCCTAGCCAACATCTATACACACGCTTAAGCTATTCTACACTAACGCGATGGTTCGGAGGTACAAGTTAGGGTTGGGGGGTGAAGCTCAGTGGCATAGAGAGCTGGCTTTGCGGGTCGCATGGTTTCATGGCTTGACAGCAGCTGTGAGAAGTAAAAACATCGGCTTGGTGGGATCGGAAAGTGTTTCTGATGTCATTTCTTCACCTGCGGCTTAGAGGGTTTGTTATTAGTATATAATGTGATGGAGCCGTGACGTGATATATTATATATATGTATATATATATATGTGTATTGTGTACATATTTATATATATATATATATATACATTTATTATATTATATATATATATATATATATATATATATATATATATATATATATATATATATATATATTATATATATTTATAATATATATATACACACACACACCACAAACCACACGCACACAACACAACACACAACATACACACACACACACATACACACACACACACAAACACCCACACACCACACACCATCCACATCCACAAATACACGCGTAAAAAAAATAGCATCCAATATTCCATAACCCGATGACACACACCTACGAAGTACTTCTTCATAAAAAATAACTCCCTCATAAAAAAAAAAAAAGAAAAAATAAAAATAACCCGCTACAGAAACGACAAACGAGAAGCTCCAATCACGGAAAATTTATGGCGTGTCTGTGAGCCAGTTGTTCCCCTTTGGATTTTCTATTGCAAATGCCTCTAAGGGAT